TGGTGATACTGTTGCTGCTGATGATGACGACGATGACGACGACGATACGGATTATGCTTGCGATGATGATGATGCTGATGATGATGAAGATGATACTGCTGCTGATGGTGAGGATGATGATGGTGATGGTGCTGCTGATGGTGGTGATGATGCTGATGCTGACGATGTTGATGCTGATGCTAATGCTGATGCTGATTCCGAGGCTGATGCTGAGCTGATGCTGATGCTGCTGCTGATGATGATGATGCTGATGCTGATGATGATGAGTATGATGATGAAGCTGATGATGATGATGACGACGATGACGATGACGATGATGATGATGCCGCTGATGATGATGATGATGAAGAAGATGATGACGATGATGTTGACAATTATGATGATGATTATTATAGTGATGATGATCATGATGATGATCATGATAATGATGCTGATGATGATGAGGATGATGATTATTACGATACTGCTGATGATATGATGATGATGACGGTGATGGTGATGGTGATGATGGTGATGCTGCTTCTGCTTCTTATGATGATGATGATGCTGCTGCTTCTTATGATGATGATGATGATGATGATGATGATGATGATGATGATGATGATGATGATGATGTTGCTGCTGATGCTGATGATGATGATGGTGGTGGTGGTGGCGGTGGTGGTAATGATGATGATGATGATGATGATGATGATGATGATGATGATGATGATGATGATGATGATGATGATGATGATGATGATGATGATGATGATGATGATGATGCTGATGACGCTGATGATGCTGCTGCTGATGATGCTGATGATGATGCTGATGCTGATGATGATTGAGATGATGCTGATAATAATTCTGGGCACGTCAAGAACAGGGTTACTGAATACGTGGGTTAAGAATATGGACTGACCGTTCCTGTCATCGGCTACAACTCATGGAATGCGGCCGCCCATTCAGATGGTGGGACCCGCGCGTACTGATGTTGACCGGCAGCCTGGATTATCGAAGCGGGTGCGCTCACTGGTGGGCAGCAGATATTCAATCCGGTCGCCATGGTAACGGATGTTCAATCCGGATATTCGATTTGGTTCACCCGATTTCGTCGTTTACAGCAATTTCGTCGCTTACAGCAGAAGCAACAGCGTTTGACGAACGCACGCGGTAACTCCGCAGTTTGGGCTGCAATGTGCGCGCGTGAGAACGGTGCGAGAAGTGGCACCGTGCAGTTGCCGCATCAAGAGACGGTGCGCGAACTTTTCCCGTCGGTTGCGAGGCGGAGCCTGTCCGCACCGTAGCGATTCGGGTCAACCGAATGGCGAATTGGCCAGCGTGCAAGAGGGGGGGGGTGGAAACGAGACAGACAACGCTGCCGCAGAGGACGGGAGGAGGCGGAGGGCGCTCAGACGTGGAAGAATTCTACCCCGAACGCGCTGGCGCGGTCAGCAGCGGCAGCGGGGGCCATGGCAGCAGCTGGGCCGCGGCGTCGGTGCATCCATGGGCGCTGCCGATGCTCAGCACGCGGTAGGGCAAGTCGTAGACAGTGTAGACGACCAGGTAAGGGACGACGAGGCAGCGCAAGTGGAAGTGGTAGTGGAAGCTAGGGTTCAGACTGCCAACAGCAAAATGCTGTACCCACTGGGTGTCAGATTCGGGTGATGCGCCCTAGCGCAGTGCCCGCCAGCTCAGCCGCCAGGGGGGCTGCCCGCCGAGAGCGGCAGCGAGCGGCGCCATGGTGGCGCGGGAGGGGAGGGAGGGAAAACGCGGCGGGGGGGAGGAAGGGGGGCAAGGGAGAAAAACGCTTGCAGGGATCCCCCAACAGGCGGGGCGGCGGCGCCCCGCAGCCCAACGCCGGCGGCGCCAGTACCAGGCGCGGTGGGCCCCGCCGACGTTCAACGCAACCGTGTGGGTTCGCGCCGCGGGGAGACAAAACTGGGGCCAAGCGGCCCGTAGAGGCCACGCGCCGTCCGGGGAGGGCACTGCGCGGCGGGGAGTCTTAGGGCGCCTAGTTGGTGCAGAATTCAGGCCACGCGCCGCCCAGGGAGGGCAGTGTGTGGCAATGTAGGGAAAAGGGGGCCACGCGCCGCCCGGGGAGGACGGCGAGCGACAGGACTGGGGGCACCTAGTCGGTGCAACTTTATGTGGGGCCAGCTCACGCACCGTCCGGGGAGGACAGCGGGCGGCAGTATGGCGCCACGCGCCGCCCGGGGAGGACGGCGCGCGACAGGACTGGGGGCACCTAGTCGGTGCAGTTTCTTGTGGACCCGGCCACGTACCGTCTGGGGAGGGCAGCGCGCGGCAGCACGGGGGGTACTTCATCGGTGCAGTTTCATGTGGTAGCATGGCTGCGCATCGCCCAGGCAAGGCGGCGCTCAGCCAGGGAAGGGGGCCCGCACGCCAGCACAGCGTCAGGGCCACGTTTTTCTAGGGTGTGGGTCGTCGCCGGGCGTAACCGTGGCGCCTGCTGTGCTTGAGTAGTGCCCAGGTAGGCGCCTTAGAGGCCCGGTAGATCTGGACGGCGCGGCCTCGTGTGGTCGTTGTTTGGCCAGGTGGGATCGGCCTGTCGCTTGCCTTTCTCGTGCAGGCCAGTGCCTTTTCTTGTGCCCTGCCCCTCGTCACGTCGGTATTCGTCGCGCTGGCGCTGGCATTCCCGGACTCCCCCCCAGTCCATGTCGACTCTCCTGGACCAGCAGAACCGACGTATGTCGTTGCGGAAGTAGTGGAGGTCACTAAGGAATTCCTTGCAGAGGTCGTCGTGACCCACGGGGTTGTAGGTACTTTTCCCCTTGCCTTTGTCATCCCGCTGGTCGCAGATAGCATTCCATCCTTCGACGAGGAAGGCCCCGCATTCCCGCTTCAGTCGGTTGACCACCTCTGGCCAGGTCTCCCAGGTGCTGGTCCGGTAGTTCCAGGTTTGTTTCGATGAAATCGACCACTTGGGCCGCGCATGTACGCTGTCGTTCGGGTCGTCTTCGTCAACGTAGCCACGGTCGGCACGCCGGGGGCTGGTTTTCTCCTGGCGCTTCAGTGGCAGCATGGGCAGAACCAACGGTTGAGGAGGAGAAGGCTCCCGCCCCTTGGTAGTTGGTCCAGGTGCTACTGCGAGCGGACCTGGGGCTGGGGAGGTGGCCACGGCATCCGCGCGCGATGGTCCTGGGGGGCTTCCGCGCCCCCCCGTCATTGGGTCTAGCCGCAGTGTTCGGCTCGTCTGGTGGGCTGGCGCTGCGGCGGTCGCTGGCGGGAGGTCTGCCTGCGCCAGCGCTTGTTGTTCCCTTGCGCGTTGAGGGCCGCTATTCCTGCGGGGGATGGGAAGAGTCCTGCGCAGCTCCCTGCGGGTCGAGGCTGCCTGCCGCAGCTTGTGCGGGATCGGCAGTGCTGGGACCCGTGGCAGGGTCTGGCTGGGTTCTCAGTATCCAAGGCATCTGCGTCCTGTGGGCTGCCGTCGCTGTGGTCTGGCGAGAAACCAACCTCCGTCACGAGCGGAGATCGGTGTCCGCTGGCACGGGGTTCTGAGAGAGCAGTGGCCTCGGCGTTCTCCTCATTTGCGTCCGGGCGCTGGTAGGTCGGCGGGGCGGCTGCTGGGGCCTCCTGGGGAAGGGGAGGCGTGGGCAGTATCTCCGCGGGCGGTGCGGGCCCGGCGGGTTGTGTGCCCAGCCACGTGACAGATGCTACGTCCGCCATAGTCTCGCCTGCATCCAGGTTGGGATTGTCTTGGCTTCCACTGCATGGGGTTGGGCTCTGGCCGTGTTGGCGCCGCACACTGGCGTCCGGTGTCGCTCTGGCTGGGTTCGGGGTGCTGGTCTGGGTTGCTGACGCACTTATTTTGTTCGCTGTTGCCTTTGAAGGCAGCTCTCGGGGCCGCAGCGGCCCTGCCAGGAGGGATTACGGCCGTAGGCTGGTAGTAGGTCAGCTTCGGTGAGGTAAGGTCACGTACCTTGTATATGGCCAGGAACTTTGTGATGTGCTGCTGACTGAATCGATTGGGGTCTCTGCCCCACTGGGGGCAGTCGTAGCGCAAAAACTTGAGCCACTGCGAGAGGAGATTGTCCTCGCTCTGCGTAGGAACGCCTGGCAGTCCATTTCTGTCCAGGCGCGGGGGTCGAGGGGCACCTCGGTGTCTCCAGGGCGGTGCGCGAACAATGTGGTGTGATAAATGGCTGCGAGAAATGATGGGGCATGGTCTATGTGTCGATGCGACATGTGTGGATGTTCCCCCAACTCTTCTGGGCTTCAAGGGTAAAGTGAAGTGAGTTGAAGCGTGTGGTCAGATGGGGGACGGGGGAGGGGGGTGGGGGAGTACGGGCAGTAGGGGCGAACGGGGGATGGGAAATAAGCTAATCGAAGGGGGGGAAGGGGTAGGCAGCAGTAGGAGGGGGAAGAGGAAGCAGGAGGGGGGAGAGGAAAAGGGGGGCAGGGGAGAGGGGGGGAAGGACACACAATCAACCACAGGAGGAGGGTGGAGGAAGAGGAAGAGGTGGAGGAGAACGAGGAGGCCCTCGCTGCGGAAGGCGCGCGCCGCAGGAACTCCGAAATAAAAGCAGAGCGAGCAAGTGTAAAAATGAGGGAAACAGAGAGAGAGAAAGAGAGAGAGAGAGAGAAACAGATAGGTCGATTTACCTTCAGTGTGCCCGTCGTCTTGGATAATCTCCCCTTGCTGTCGACAGGAGATCGTCGAGAAAGTGATCTAGGACGCCTTGCGGCGCGAAAGCACGCGTTCCCCGCACGGTACAGGTGGGGTCGAGTGGGAGGAATGTGGGAGGGCCCCAGGAGACCGCAGGGAGAGTCCTGATGTAAAGGCTGGGGAAGACAAGTGCGGGCTCCACACACGTAGGGTTCCACACGCAGGGTTCCACACATAAGTTGGCATGTACAAGATGGTTCCACACACCTAGATTCCCGCACTTTCTGGACTCTGGACGCTTTGCTGCACAGACCAGCCGTTGGGGCCCCGCGCGTTGGCATTACTTCTTCTGGGGGAGACACTTCTGGTGCGCCTGTCGGCCCCGAAGTGGGGCCAGCGGATCAAGAGCACCCTCTCGGAGATCAAGCTCAAAAATGGCAAGCCTGCGCTGACCCTTTTCGGGGACTACACCCACCTGCACATTAACCCGTCTGGCAAGTTCATCATCGGGGGTCCCCAGGTCTTCTCCTCCTCCTGCTTCCTGCTCCCCCGCTCTCTGTTTCTCTCTCTCGCCTCTTCCTGGCCCTAACCCTCCCACTTGGCCCCCTCACTTTCTCTTGATCCCTCCTCCCTCCGCCTCCCGCCCTTCCCCTTTCTCTTCCGCCATCTCCTCCTCCTCCTCCTCCTTGTCCTAGCCGTTTTGGCTCAGAAGATTTCTGAGCTTGCCGACGCATTTCTTCAGAGCGGCCTGCGTCGGCGGGCCAAGGTGATTTCAGCTTCCACCATTGTCAGTGCACCAGTATGTCAGGCGATGGTTCCGTACTTAGAGGTGCTCGAACACCTCTGTGGTCTTGTTCACAGTGCACGAGAACTGCGAACTGGGCTTGTCGTATCAAGTGTCTGTGTGGCGCTGCTGCTCCTCATCGAGTGGTGCAGGCAGCGCGCAAATCAGAGAAGGAATGGAATATGCAGCCTTCACGTGTGAGCCGAAGGGCCCAGGTGGTAAGTGGGCTCAAGGGGCACCCCCAGATCTCATCCAGCAGATCACTGCAGCGATGGACAAAAAGATGGGGCAACGCATCAAAGCGGCGCTCAATGAGAAGGTCCCCAATGTTGCGGGCATTGCTCCAGCTACGGATGCTCCTGCTGTTGTGCCTGATGGTGATGTTGTTCGAGCTGCTCGCATCGAGTCACTCGAAGGGGCGCTCAAACAGATGGAGCAGATCGACGAGTCCGACCCTGCCAAGAAGGTCCTGCTCGACCAGCTGCGCGAGGCCAGGCAGGCCCAGCGCAGCTCCAAGCCTGTGCTCCAGCAGCGCACCAACGTGGCCTTCAGGCTCCAGTTGGCGGAGAAGAAACTGCGCAAGACTCAAGAGTCGGTGGCAGCGCAACGTGTGGTTATCGAGAGCGCTCAGAAGGCCCTCTTGGATTTTCAGGAGAAGGAGGCGGCCATGCAGCGGGAAGTGGCCGCCTTGCAGGAGGAGCTGCGCAGGACCATGCCTGGACCCGCGCCCCTCCGCAGCCATACCTCACCTTCAAGCTTCCTGATGAGGTCCTGGCCGCCAATGCAGATGTTCGTGAGTTCATGGAGAGTCCAACTTTTCAGAAGATGCAGTCGCTCTTCGAGGAGTGCCGCAGCCAAAGGGAGCAGCCTGTGCCACCTCCGCAGCAGGCTCGAGCGATTCTTCAGAAGATCACCCCATGGAAGGACTCACGCCCGAGGGCATCGAGAGACTTGTGCAGTCAGCAGGCAATAGTGACAAACGGGCTTTCGAGCAGACTTTGGGCGATATGGGAGTCAAGCGAGCACGGGTGGGAGGACAACCTGGGACTCCTGATGGACGTGCGCAGCCTGGGTAGTACCTCTTTGAATGCGGTTGAGGCCACTGGGAGCCTGCTCTGCGAGGCACCCCTCTTCGTTGCAGCGGCGTGGCGTGAGCCAGATTCTGGGCCCTCGGCGGTGACGAGGGCGTTGCCCGCTGAGAGGGGTGCCTCACCGTCTATGTCTGTGCCGCTGCTGTGTGGGTTACCCGTCGCGGCTGAAGGCAACGTTGTTCCACTACACAAAGATTTTCGACGTAACGAGAAGGTTGATGTTCCAACTCAGTTCTTGGAGTCTTTCAATGGCAATTGCCGTGCAACGCTCTTAGATCGACTCAGGTGTTCATATTCCTTAGTTGTATGTGCGCAGGAAATCGGTACTGCCGAGCATGCTATACCAGACCTCCAGCGTGCTGCTCGCACGCATGGGTTCCGTATGTTGCGCAGTCCGTCTTTTGTTCGAGAACGAGGGCCCCATTCGGCTGGAGTGGCAGTTTTTGTGAAGCAGCATGTTGGCATCAGATGGAACCCCAATGGAGGCGAGTTGGTCAAAGGTGGATTGATTTCGGTTCAAGTTGATATTCCAGGCTGGCCGCCTTTGACAGTGTACTCAGCTTACCTGTGCACGGCTGCCGGCCTGGATGAGACCAACGTGCGAATTTTGACGATATTGGGCAGTAGCATGCAGAAGACCTCGGGCTCGATCCTTGCAGGCGCGGGCTGGAATGTTGAAGCGCAGGCTGTTGAAGAATCCGGATTGCACGCGAGGCTGGCCTGATTGCGGTGGTACCTGTCCGAGGCGCGTGTATCGTGCCCAACTCTGCCTCGACCATCGACTACTTCTTGTGCTCGCATGACGTGGTTTGCTTAGTGGGCAAGATTCGAGTGCTGCAGACGTGGCACAGTAGTCCGCATAAGCCTGCGCGGATGTACTTGCGCGAAGGAGTGCTGCAACTTCAACAACTTGTGTACTGTGCTCGTGCTCGGCTTCGTGTTCTGCCACCAGTTGGTCCTCGCAGGGGGCCTCGCTGGCATGTTGCTGCACGTGTCCTCGCAGAACAGGCAGCCCATGCTGCTGAATATGATCCAGTAAGTTTGGCCTGGCAGAGATTGAACCATGCGTGGGCAGTCTTTTGCAGGATGCTGTGTCGGAGCTAGCAGATGTTCTGGATTCCGCTGCAGAGGTTCACGCAATCTCGATGCTTAGCACGACGTTGCGTCCCAGTGCTTGGCAGGGCACGTTCTCCTGCGGACGATATTTCTGTGTGCCGAGGCTGGCAGTGGATCTACAGAGTATGGCGTGAGTTTGAGATATTGGCCAAAGACGTAACGTGCCTGTCCCCCCACCCACCCGCAGTGGATCTTCGACAGAGATGCCTTGTGGGAAGTTACCCTGGAGAAGGACATGATGTGAGACTTGATGCACCAGTCATGGCGCTCCGTACTTTCTACGCATATCCAGACAGATATCCTGATCCATGGTGGGAGAAGGCCACAGCTTTCGGTGAGTGTATGTCGGGGGAGTTCGAAGCGGCCGCGACGCAGGCTAGCAAGCTTCGCGCTCAGTCGTGGAATGATTGGCGTGGGCAGGCGCTCAAACAAAGGCTCGGCCAAGATGATGCGCGACATTACGAGGCTGCATCAAGTTTGGAATCCAAGTGTGGTCGAGCGAGCGCATGGTATCTTCTCAAGTTGCCCTGGTGATGTTCTTGCAGCCGAAGCTGAGGCGCTTCGAGCACAATGGCGAGCCGCAGGCAATCTCCTGCTGCTGAAGTTCCTGCTCGTGAGTGCTTCCCCCCTGCGACGGTGGAAGAGATCAGAAGTGCATCGCGAAAGTTATGTCAGTTTACGTCTTCCACTCTTGATGGCTTTCACCCCGGGCACATCTGTGTGTTGGGAGATGCTGGCATATCCACCCTCAGTGTTCTATTTGAAGCGGTGGAACGGCTTGGCTTTTTTCCACGTCGTTTCATGTGGATGGTATTTCCACTGATCGAGAAGCCAGCAGGTGGTCATCGCCCTATTTTCTTGTTAGCGAGCTTTGTGCGTGTGTGGGAAAGGCTTCGCCGACCTCAGCTCGGCCCCTTCTTTGCAGCGGCGGAGAGGGTCCATTGGGTTTCTGGGGCTGGCGAAAGCGCTGAGTCTTGTGTTTGGGCCCGAGCGGCCCTGTCTGAAGTGGCTAACGCTAACGACAAGGGTGTCTTGGGGGTCCAGTGGGACGGGAAAAAGTATTGCGAGTCGCCCCAGCTAGACCTCCTGAGAGATAGAGCCTATAAGCGTGGAGTACCTAGCGTCATCGTCAAAACAATGTACAATCTTTGGCGTTCTCCGAGGCCGCCTAGGTTGGGCCCTGCATTTTATCCGGTGCCGCTCTTCGCTCAGAGCGGCCTCCCTGCAGGCGACATCTTTAATGGCGCTTTCGTAAAGGTGTGTGCGATTGACGCCTTCGATGCTTTCGCGCTTCGTCACGATTCGATCAGGCTCTCGTCGTGCATCGACGATGACACGCTCATGGCTATAGGTGACAAGCACGCGCTCCTTAAAAAACTCCCCGAAGCAGCTGCTGATTTCCATCGTAAGTTTAAGCAGGAACTCGAAGCAGACATCAGCGAGTCCAAAGCAATAGCGATAGCAAGTTCGCTCCCGCTGGCTAAGACTCTGGCTCAACAGCTTCACGTTCGCGGGCTACCGGGAGGGCAGATCACATCGGCGTCGCTTAACCTGGGGGTCGATTTCGCTCCTGGTCAGGCTCGGTCCACTAAGGGTGCTCTGCGTAAACGGTGCCGTCGATTTCAACAGTTTAGGCTTCGTCATGGTCGGGTGCTTTGATCTCGTAAATGGTTACCGCACGGAAAGCATCGGATGGCGATCAGTCATTCAGCTGGTCTCAAGCCCGCTCTACCGTACGGCAGTGCAGTCTTGGGCATGAGTGATTGCGAGCTGAAGAGAGCTCGAGCGGCGCTGCTCAGTTGCCGCTCTCCTTCTCATCGAGGTGCTTCGCTTCTTGCCACGTGTGCTACATGGCGACCCTGTTGCAGATGCTGCCGTGGCTCCAGCAGTGCAGTGGGATATAGCAGTGTGGTCGGCAGCGGTTGCAGCGGGGCGCTCTATCTTCACGGTTGCTGATCTAGCTCGTATGTATAATGCAGTGGTTCAACAACTGCCCCCGACACTGTCGTGGGGGCAGTCAAAGGGACCGATTTCCAGGATGCTGTGCCTCAAGAGGGTTGGGTGGAGTCCAAAGCATGCCGCGGAGTGGATTGACGATAGAGGAATTGAGATCTCTCTGTTGTATACGTCCCCTTCCCTCATCAAGACCCTCTTGTACGAAGCCTTGCAGCGTAAACATGTCGCACAGGTAGTTGGATTCGGGGGTGATGCTGCGCGCGTGTGTGTAGATGTTGCGCGCGCGGTTGTCCGCACTTCGAAGAAATGCACGCCTAGGCACAGGTATGCTGTAGCTAGTTGTTTCACGAACACCGTTTTCACACAAGATCGTTTAAACTATTTAGGGCGCCAGTCGGACGGACTTTGCCCCATGTGTAATCAGCGCGACTGCCTCCACCATCGGCTGTGGTGCTGCCAGTGCCCGCTGGTTTTAGAATCGAAGCAGAAGGCGGCTAGCGTGGAGATAATCGCTGAGGGGGCCCAGGCGGGGTGCGAAGATTTCTTCTGGACCCGCCTCATTTTCAGCCACCCCTCCACCTACCTCCAACCTCCCACAGATATGTTATACCCCCAGCTGCTCACAGCCAGCGGGGAGCCCCTCGACGATCCCTCGATCCTGAAAGATGCGTCGGTCGTCGTCGTCGATGGGTCGTGGACTCGTAATCCGATCAGGGAGTTGTCGAGGGCAGCGTATGCATTTTTGTTTTCGCCTGAGGGGTCGGAGGAGGTTCTTGCGCGTTTCCAGGGCCCTGTGTGGCCATCGCTCCCCCAGACCCCTCAGGCTGCAGAGCAGATGGCCATGATAACGCCAGCGTTTTTGCTACAGTGCAAGGTCGAAGTTATCTCAGACTGCCTTGGAGTCGCTCGGTTGCACAATCAATCTAAGACCCAAGTCCTCTCCAGCAGGTCGAAGTATGCGGGACTGAGGCGCGGATTTTATGAGCTCCAACGTGCAGGCTATGTCGGTTGGGCCCATCGCACTTGTGCGCAGACGGATGGAAGATATCGACCAGTTGCCTGATGATGAATGGCGAATTGGCCGAGCCAAAGTCATTGCAGACCAGTGTGCTAAGCGAGCGTTGAATCTGCATGCTCGGGACAGTCCTAGGGGCCTTTTGGAACTTGATGCCTTGATCGCCAAGGCTCGAGCGGTGACCCATGTTGAGGGATCCGTCCTCCCCTTGTTCCCCTTCCGCTCAGTTCCCTCCCCGTCCCAAGGTCCCGAGGCCCCGAGAGACTGGAGCAGCTAGATGGCATGCGTGGACAGCTGTGCCAGGCTCATCAGGATCGTTTATTTGTCACGACTGTCATGCTCGCGTCGCAGGCACGTGCGCGCAACAGTTAGATATGGCAGGTTGCGCAGGTCGTCGTGCGAATTTTGCGTTTCCCAGAGATCGTGATAGTCTTGGCCGCTCGTTAGTCTACACGCGACTTTCGAATGGCCCTAGTTTGGTTTTCTGCAGAAGATGTGGTGCTGACAGTACGGACCGCATCAGCAGGAAGTTGGAGTCTGCATGTAAGGGCCGTGTCGTGTCCTCGGCTACTCGTTGCAGGCTCGGTCGAATGCTTCGAGGTCTCCACCCGCAATCGAATCGTGCTCCAGGCGTTGTGCTCCGCATATTTGACGTGGACAGGCTGCGACTTGTGCAGGCCCAGCAACGGCCTCGGAGAGCGATCTTCTTTCAACAGCCGCAGGAGGGAGCTGCAGGCAGTCGTTTGCTGCCAGGGCTCGAGGCCTTGCGGCTGAGGATTGCGGCTAAGGAGGGGGCCTGGTATTCAGGGCCCTGGGCGCTTGCAGGCTACGCCTGTGGAGAGGTCGCCGCCGCAGGATCCGCCTCATCTTGGGGTCCAGGGCCAGGCCCGATCGGGGTCTCCTGTGGGCCCTGAGCTCGACGCTGAAGAGGAGGCCGCTCGCTTCCTCCACCTCTGAAGCAAACGTTTACGTTCTACCCAGCGGGGAAAACAAATCCTCCTTGCCCCCCTCCCCCCCCTCCTGCGGTTGCTAGTGCTTGGGGGGGGCTGGGGCCGCGTCGATTGAGGTGGATGTCGGAAGGGCAGTGCTTCGTGCGTCCATTCGGTCTCAAGGCAGCGCCGGCCGCGGGTGACGCCCAAACCGCGGCGCCCGCCCATGCGACTCCGAGAGCCGCGGCGGCGTGGCGAAAACCCGGCGGCGTTGGCGTCCCGCCGCGGCGCCTCTCGAGCGCTGGGCGCGCCCGCGCAGAGGGGGCGCGCGAGGCGAGGGCGGCCAGAGAGGCCGAAGGGTCGAGGGAGCCACACTCAGGCCATGTAAGTCTTCCTGTGCGCGCCGAGATGCAATTTCAGGAAGTGCGAGGCGAGCGCGAGGGCGGGGCCGCGCGCGGAGCCGAGCGGAGTCATCGAAATTCAAGACACGCCATAAGCATGCGCTTTCGGGGACGGCGCCGGAGGCGCCGCCAGGGGGGTGAGCGCCGACCCAAGGGATCCGCGCGGAGCTCCACAATATTGTGATTATGGCACCTGTTGGTGGCTCTGAGGCAGCTGGTGCCTCCGAATCACGCTGGCCCCCGTCGGCGCGCGCGCCGACAGGCCGCGGCGGGCTCCATTGGTGGGCTGGGTGTGCGCTTCTGGCTGCCAAGCCCCCCCCCCCCTGCCGGCGACCCCTTCTGCGCGCGCTCGCAGCACTTGCGGCGGCCAGTGAGCTCGCGGCGGGCGTGGTGGTTCCATTCCCACCGCAGCCCCTAGCAGTGGCCGAAGCCGCTCCTCCTGCCCGCGTAATTTCTCCCGTTTGCGCCGCCCTCGTTGTGGGCCGCCCAGCCGTTGCAGGGCCGTCCAGCCGTTGCAGGGCCGCTCGTGCCAGGCAGGGGCCACTTTGCGAAGGGGCGGCCTCGGCGCCAGCAGAAAATGTCCCAGGCCGAGCGCCGGGCCCGCCGGACGCCCTGCGACAGTGCGGTGGCGGCGTCCTCCGCCCGCGGCACCGCCGCAGAGGCCGGCGCCTTGCACCGATGCCGCAGCTTGCGCGCCCACTGCGGGCTTCCCGCGTGGGGTGGAACGCCCGATGGGGCGCCCGTCGCCGAGTCTCGGAGCCGCGCCGCCGAGGCCCAAACGTCTAGAGCCAGAGTCGCGCGCGTCGGGGCTCCGCATTGGAAGTCGCCGCCGCCCTGGTCCGGGACTCCGCGCCGACTGGCGCCCGAGCGTGTTCGGCGGTAGGCAGTTGCCAATCAGGGTGGCGCAGCCGCCACCTCTGCGCGGTTGCCTGGCGCGTGTGCGCCAGCGCGGCTGGCGGAGGCTTCCAACAGCGTGTTTTGGTGCCGACCTTTGCGCCTGTGTCCGCTGGCGCTGCAAATGTTCGATGTTCTCGGCCATGTTTCTGGGCGGCGCCAGGGGCAGCGGTATCCTGCACCTGGCGCCTGGGGAAATCTCCTGGCGCGGCAGGCGCAGACTGGCGCGCGCCACATTCTGCATGTGCCCACGTCATCGAGAACTGTACGCCCTTCGTGTCCAGCCGCCCCAGGCGCAGTGCCAGCAGGTGGCGCGCCGCCCGCCAGCGCCGCCCCCGTGCGCATAGGAATCAGATGAGTTGCATGTGGACGGGGACGACATTTCCAGTTTCCAGCGTGGCGAACACCGCGGAGGCGCCAGCACGTGCTGTTGACATTGCCACGCCGGGTGAACTGACGTCGCAGGTGAAGCAGCCCGGCGCGAAAACGAGGATGTATCTTAGCGGGGCCGGGCTGCCGCCGAATTGGCGCACAGGTGTTTCAAGATAGGGCCACCTCGCAAGAGTCGCCTCGTGGCGATTCAATGGGAAAGTGAGCGGAAGCAAGCCTCCTCGAGAAGGGGAGGGTCTATGACACTTTTCAAAAGGCGCGAAGGATTCTGAGAAGCCCGCCGCCCTCTGAGAAGGTTCGCCCCCTCTCACTTCACCCCTGGGCTCGGCGCCGAGAGGTGAGGCAAGTGCACGGTCGTAGTGGTGCGTCGAGCCTGCGTTCGCAGCCTGCCCGCCAGTCAGTTCGACTGCCGCCCGCCTCGTATTGCACTGCGCCTTTCGACGGGGCGACAGCGTGATGTATCGGCTTCAGGAGCGAACCAAGGTCGTGCGTGTGCGACAATCTACGGTGTTTTCGGAACGTTCGTAACGCGAGGCTGGTCTCTCGGACTAGGGCGCCGTATTCGTGTACGTTGTGGGGCGCGTGCGCCCTCAGTGGCTGGTCTCTCGGACTAGGGCGCCGCATTCGTGTGCGTTGTGGGGCGCGTGCGCCCTTGGTGGGCTCCCTGCCCCTGCTCTCCGTCGAGCGCCCCTTCGTGCGCACCCTCGTGCTCGTGGGCGCTGGTGTGTGCGTGGTTCGCGCGCGCGCGCGCCAGCGTGCGTTCGCGTGTGCGCCCCAGCGCGCTCAGTCGAGTCACCTGCCTGTCCGGAGAACACTGCGCGTGTCGTCGATCTTCCACCTCATCCTCTGCCTTTTCCTTTTGCGTTTATCTCCTTCCTTCATCCTCCTTTTCTTCTCTTCGTGCCTCCTTCGCCCCTTCCCTCCTTTCCTTCTTGTTCTCCTACCTCCTCCTCCTCCTCCTTGTCCCTCTCCTCCTGCTCCTCCTCTTCCTCCTCCTCGTCCTTCCCCCCCCCTCCTCCTCCTCCTGCTGCTGCTGCTGCTCCCCCTCCTCCTCCTCGTCCTCCTCCCTCCTACCTCCTCCTCCTGCTCTCTCCTGCGTCCTCCCTCTTCCCTCCTCCATCCTCCTCCTCAGTTCGGGGATTCATTTGATAAGTCATCCCCCCTGTGTGCCTATGCCATGCAGAGTAACGCCTCCGCAGCTGTGAGCTGGCTTCGACAGTGAGAAAGCGCCCCGCCCCGCCGCGCGTGCCTGCCCGGCAGGTCGGGTCTTGTCTGTTTGTCGTAGCCACAAGCTTAGCGGTCTCTGTAAGAAGCAGTGCGTTAGCAAGCCACAAGATGAACCTGACCAGGGGGCTGTTACAGGAAGAAAATGACGGATAACAGCCACAAGGTGAACATTATCATATTTCGCTTATCAGTTGGGCCATATGAAAGTTCCCACAAAATCAAAGAATTGGCAACGTGCCGATTATCAGCTGAAAGTTCGATCTTCGATGGAAGTGGTACCACCAGATGGGGAAACTATGTCGCAACCCTCTATGGGCGATGTGCGAGCGAAAGAAGAATCGCACCACGGCTTGAGTGTGAATGTTCCTGGAGCAGATTCAGCGGACTATGTCGGGGAACCGAGCCAGCGTCCCCCCTCCAAGATCGGCCGGAACTTCTCCTGCGATGATGGGTCTCGTCTTGCTAATCCGAAGATCAAGGGCGTCGCGCGTCCCGACCGGCGCGAAGAAGATAATGCATATCTTATGCTGGGCGGTGGCCGACCTGATGTCCCCATCAATACCTCGGACGGCGAGCTTGATGTGGCGTCGATTTCATCGGAGGGAGATTTCTCTCGCAGGTCGACGCCCAGACCCATCGGAAGAGGCGAGGCGATTACCGACCTCCTGCACAGGTGCCTCTTATGTAGGGCGAGGATGCCGCGATTCCATCTGATGAATCTTTGGACCGGAACTTGGAGGTATCATTGAGGATGAATTCGTGGGCGGTCCTAGTAGGGCGGCGAGTAATCAGAGACGTGGGCATGTTAGCATTTCGATAACAGCGCCACTCGGTAAGCGGAGCAGATCTGGCGGCATCCCAGAGTACGACCTTGAGTCCGCTTCGGGGGGGGGGGGGGCGGGAGCTATTCGCCCGTGTCCCCGCCGCGTTCTTCCCGGGCGAATGATTGATAGAGCCGACCTCGACGCCTGGGGCGCCCGATCTACGGGCCCGCCCCCCTCGCGAGAGGAGCTCCGAGAGGGGCCGACCCAGGGCTCCAAGACGGCGATCTGACCTGTCCGGCCTGTCTGACCTACCGGGTAGGTCGAGGGCGTTCAGCATGCGCTTCTGCTGCGAGTTCTCGGACGTCTGCGGCCTCTGCAACCTTCTTCCGATGTCCGACGTGTGCCGCCCCAAGTGCGCGCAACTGTGCTGGGTTGCGCGTGGGCGAGTGGCGCGATGCCGAGGAAAGAATGAGGTTGAGCGATATGGGGATCAGGGGGGGGGGATCTCGCGGAAATGCGCGAGCAATTGAGGCGGGCGGAATTGCAGCGGCGAGCGGTTGTTGCCCCTCAGTTGGAGCGAGACTGGGAGGCGATGGCGAATGCCGCGCGTTGCCTGGGGGGGCGTCAACAGGCGGTGGCAGCCGACCAGGCTTTCGCAGCAACGCAGGGAATGAGAGAGCTCGCCAACATATTGGAGATCGCAGTTGCCCGCGAGCGCCGTGCACGTCTCCAGGGGGAAAAAAAACACCTTGCAGGGGAAGCGAGGTGCGCCGTCCAGGGGGCTGGCGAGGCTCAGCGTATGATTACGTGGCAAGCGGCCCGGGAGTTGCGAGCGGCAGACGATCGGAACGCGTGGTTAGCCGCGGAGTCTGCCGCTGCTGTCAAACAGGCCGAGACGGATCGTGTCGTCGCGAATCAGAGCTATGCTCGTCCCACGGCTGAGATGCCGCTTGCTCGTGAGGAGATGCGACGGGTCGAAATGGGTGCTGGGGAGAAAGTCGCAGCGAGTGCTCGTGCATCGGGACAGAAGGCCGTCCGAATGGTGAAGAGCCGGGAAGTTGAGCGAGACAATTTGTATCGTGAGGTCAGTGGGGATCAGGTGCTGTGGAACCCTATCGGAGTGTCTTCAGCAACGTCAGCAGGGGCCGTGTCGGTGTCGGAATCGAGCGCGGTAGCGGCGCCCGTAGCGCAGTCGTCGGCGCCGCTGGCAGTTCGAAATTTTGGGGCCGGCCTCGCCGGGGAACTCGGGGCGCAACCCCTGCGCGGGGGCCCTGTGGTGTTTCTTATGCTCCAAGGTGGTTGTTCGCGACTGTGCCCTACGCAACGAAGGCGTTTGCGACGAACGCTTCGCGCTGGATGGCGAGGCGTGCGCGCGCGGCTACGGGGGGGGCCCAGCCGCGAGAAACAACGAAGCTGAGGGGGGACTTCGGGGGAAAGAAAGCGAGGGGCGTTTGGCGAGGAGGAATCTTGAGGAGCAGTGCCGCTGCGTCGATGCCGAGGGCCGGCTCTCGCGATCGATTGGCTCGGCCTGCGCGCGCCCGGGGCCGTGCCGGAGGGGGCGGCGACCGTCGCGCCGAGAGCGTTGAATCGAAGAGGCTGCTTGAGTGTGAAGAGGCCGCGAGGGCTGAGAACGAGGGTTCGAGGGGGTGCTCGAACGGGCTGCGCAGCGGGAAGAGGATCACTCCCGGATGCGCGCTGGGCGTAATGTCGAAATCCAAGGTATGCGCGAGACGCGGACTGAGGTGGCTGCCGCCCTGGCGCGGCAGAACCGGGAAAGGGGGGGGGGCCGGGCGAGAGGTCCGAGTGCAGAAGGACTTGAATGTCAATTCGGAGACAGCTCGCCCTTGTACTGCGACCTCGCTCCCAGGATGCACCCCCCCGGCGCCGGGGAGTTTGCCGAGCGTGTTGAAGCGTGGAAATTAGAGAGATGAGGCGACTCCCCCGAGGGAGGTACCAGTGCTGTATCGCCCAGGCTCAGATCCCCCTGGGGATGACGGCGGAGATGATGATGATGATGATGATGATGATGATGATGATGATGATGATGATGATGATAACGAGGATGGTGACGTCCTCTACCCTGAAGACGAAGGATGCCCAACGCCTCACGGAGAAGAGGATAGCAACCCAGACCTTCGGCGTCGGCGCGGTTGAGGGCCGCCTGGAGGCGATTCGCCAGGAGGCGGCGGCGGCGACGATGGTGCCCCACTCTCGTTGATGGATGTTGTCCCTGCCACTGCGCACTATTGGAATGACGCAGTCAGGACGGAGACGCAAGTCTTGGAGGCGAGCCCTGATGCCGCCAACTACCAGAAGTGTCGGCGCAATGTAATCAGGTCGGTGCTGTCGGCTTCGCCGACTTGCGAAGTTGGATGGCGGGCGCTTTTGATTTTGGATGCGTTGGTGCGAAGGAATTGAGAGACTCTGACCATATCGTCTGACTTGACCTGGCGATCGCAGCAGGCCTCATGCCAAAGGTCAGCAATATAGTTAAAGACAGGCAGTTATCATCGCAGCTGCGCCATCTTGCGAGTGAGATCGAAGGCTGGGCATCTCCTCGCAAATCGCCAGCGGCATGATGAAAGGTCGTGAGATTTTGCGTACCGTTGCCGTGCGTGTGACCGCCCGTCAGGATCACGGTCAGGTGTATGCGCGCGTGGACCCTATCGGTATTCAGATCCGTGGTGTGGGCAAGGAGGCGGATAGCGACCTGTTCCACTTCTAAGGCAAGTGGGTGGGGGCACTTAACGAGATGGAGGAATTGGGCGACTCCTTCCGCCCCGCGATGCAGGGGCATTTCTACCGCCAGATGCAAAAGTGCCCGTGCATGAGTTCACCCTTGTGCTCTATGGCCATTGTAACAATCAGTGTGGTGCTGGAATGAAGGCTTACGAACGGTCGTTATCGAGAGTTAGTGACTTCATGCGCAAGGGGGGAGGGCAAATCAGTCGTGAAAAGCAGCTCGAGGCCTTCGTGTCGGGGGCGGGGGGGGCGGGGGGGGGGCGAAAGTGCCGGCGAGAGCGGGCAGAGTCTCCATGTGACAGGCGGTCGCTTCAAGAAGTCGGTGTCGCGCAGCGAGTTTTTTCCACGGCGAGTGCCCGTGCGCTCGAGCGCAGCGTCAGTGCCTGCGTCCATGGGTGAAGTGGGTGCCCGCCGTCTATGCCCGACAGGGCAGGCTGCGCCTGCCCAGTCGGGCATGGGCGGTGGTGAGGGCAGTGGGGAGAAAAATAAGTGCAATGCGAAAGGTGGCGGAAAGGGTAAATATGGTGATTGTGGCAGGAGCCAAGAGCGCCCCTCTGACCGATCCAAAGATGGCGGCAAGGACTGGGGCCGTCCACGGGGCCGCGCCTCTAGTGCCAACTCCTAGAAGAACGGCTTATGCCATGCACTGAGCCGGGGTGTCTGCCTCTTGTTGCCCGAGGAATGCCCCCGCGAGCGACGACGGGCTACCCGGGGGGGGGAGCTCTCTCGCGATGAGTACGGGGCGCACATGGGCGCGATTGGCAGACCCCCCCCTGCAAGCGCAGCAAGGATCACATGTCTGCCGCGGCGCAGAAAATCACGAATGATGCCGTGTCCGCGACGGGCAGCGACAAAGGCAAGTCGAAGGGGGGCGGCAAATTCCAGGAGAAGAGACAATGCTGGAGGCACCTGGCCGGGCAGACTTGCCCATTCGGAAGGGACTGTTGGGGCAGCAGCAATGCCCTTGAATGCCCGTGATCTGACGGGGCGGCGTTCGGTGGTATGTCACAGGCGTCGGCTTGGGCGGGGTGGAGGCGGGCCGCCGCTGCCTGGCGATGGGGGCGCCGATATGTGCCGCTCGCGCAGCTTTCTGCGCTGCGTCAGGATTCCAAGCGCCGCCATTAGGCAGGGCGCCCGCCCTCGGACGATGTCCTCGTGGGGGTGGACAGGTTGCAGATATACGCGTACTTGAACGGGGCGAAGGCAGCCGGGCTGTGCCGGCGCATGCACAGAGTGGGGGCAAGGATGACCTACGTGCGAAGTGGCTGGGGGGTGCCTCCAGGCAGGTGGGGTTGCGGCGCTTCGGAAACAGGCCTTCGAATTACTGAGGAACGGGGGGCCTGCGACGAGCGCCCAGTCGACGTGCGTATATTTAACTATATGTATGTATGTATGTATGTATGTATGTATGTATGTATGTATGTATGTATGTATATGTGTATATAGATATGAACATCAGCGTCCTCTGGTCAATGGGCAATGGAAGGTGCGTGTAGACCCGAGCACGCCGCAACCAGCCACTTGGACTCTTCGACCAACAAGAAAAGCAACGAGGCCGATGCCAAGTGCGCGGGGGCGTCCTTTCGAGTTTCATCCCCAGTGGGCTGATAAGCGCGCGCGTAAGACGAATCTCCATGCGCAGCTGGCGTTCGATGAGGCCGTTGCACTGGAGCGGTAAGTCTGGCGTATGTGGGTTGGCTTGGCGCAACAGTCTGCGGCGAGCTCAGCGATGTCAGCAGTGGGCATGGCGACGAGCAGATAGTTGCCATGTCTGCTAGAAAACAGCGAAATGCCTCGAGGGATAAGAAGCCAGGCCCCGTCCGTCTCGGGTCCGTGCTGTTCATCGTCGACGCGGGTTGCGGTTCGATTCTGATTTCCGCCAAGTACTTTCAAGAGGCAGGGGTGGTTGACAGGATCTCTCCGCTGGCCGTCCCCATTGCCTGGGCGCGGCGGGTGGTCAGTCCAGAACCCTCTGCGCGATCGGGATTGCCAGCGACGTGCTGAATAAAGGGGAGATAGAGACAATTGTCGCGCCGGAGATTCCGAGCGTGACCTCGGTGGGCGAGCTCTGCTTGGACCGCGGTTGTAGTTTTCATTAGGTAACCGGTGGGGTGCCGTACCTACTGCTGCCGCGGGCAAGAAGGTTGAAATTCTGAGTCGAGGGCGAGATCCCCTGCCTCACCGTGGATGGCAGAGGGGCCTGGGGTCGGGTAGACGAGGCAGCTCCCGCCGGCTCGTCTGGGCTTGGGCGGTGGGCGTGTGTGGAGGTCGGCGCGAGGTCTAGCCTGGGTGTCCCTGGCGTGCTGGGTGGTCAGGCGCGCGCGACCCTCGAGTTGCGCTCGCGAAAGGTGATGGCAGAAGATTCCCACTCGAACGGCACGCTGAATAACCAGTCGGACGGCGCCATGGGACTTTTGATGGCCGCGGACGGGGCAGTTGCGCCAAAACCTGATATGCTCACCTACTTCTTCTATGGGCCCCGTGAAGCGGCAAGACTAGGATGGGCGAAGGCGGGCGCGAGTTTTGTTAGCGGTGCTGCCTCGATGGCGCCAGTGCCAGGGCGCAGCTAGGCTGGGGGTGTGCGGTGTCGAGACTGAAGCGTGGACAGGGCTGCGCCTTGTCGCTCGACGGCGGTGTCTTCACCGGGCGAAGAAGTGGTCGCCGATGCGGCGCCCAGGGGACTGGGGGCCGCGGAGGTGGTCGACGACCGCGGCGACGACCCAATGGGAGATTCAGGGCCCGAGGGGGCGACGAAATATCCGTAAGGGCTTCGCCCCCTGCCGCCGGCCCCCTCTCTCGGAGAATGGGCCATGGAAGTGCTAAGTCATGGGGCTTTGGCGCTGTCGTGCAGCAGTGTCGGAACTTCATGCGAGGCCGATTCGCAATCGGCAAAACCAACTGATCACAGGAGGGGTTACCACACAGGGCGATTGGTAAGACGTGCATGGTTTACGAGCTTGGTTACCACACCTTGGGATTACAGGGCCGAGGGGGTACTCGCAGTTTGGGTTGCCACGCCTTGCGATGGATGTGCGTGAGGGGTGGCACCGAATTTCAGAAATGTTGCAAATCCTTTGTGTTTTTGGACCCTGACCCCGCGGATCTGCGTGAGGGGTGGCACCGAATTTCAGACATGTTGCAAATCCCATGTGTTTTTGGACCCTGACCCCGCGGATCTGCGTGAGGGGTGTCGATTTCGAGCCCCCCCAGCAATTCAGACAACGCGCCCAGGAGGTGCTAAAAATCCCGTTTGGGCCTCCCCCCCCTCGCGCGGTCAATCAACTAGTTGCAGTAACCAGCAAGAAGTCAACTAGTTACAGTAACCGGCAAGAAGCAGAACTGTAACGCTGGAAACTACAAACTACAACTGGTACAGGAAACTGCGAATCACGCGCCTCGCAGCCTGGTGGCCCCACAAGGGGGCCGGCGGATTCGCGCCTCCAGCGAGAGGCCGTCTCACGTCAGCACCTGCTTGCTCGCGTGCCGCAGAGCCCGTTCTGCTGAACGCGCCAGCGGGCGAAGACGTTGTGAACGCAACGAAGGCATGATCATAAGCAGATGCGACCATGCTCCGCTCCGAAGAAATTTGGTGGCGTGTGCACCATGGGCCACTGGTTCGCGGCTGATGAGCCATCGAGGGGACTCTACGGGGAAACGTCGTGCGCCACGCTACGCGACCGGTGCGCGGGATTTTTGGTGAGTCAGAGCACTCGTGACAAATCGGCCGAGCACGTGGGTGATTTCTTTTGTGACCCTGAGGGCGCCTGCCGAGAAGTTGGAATGCATCTATGCGGACGCGACCCCTGGATAGAAGAGAGTATGCAAGTCATTGTGCGTGCGCCCTCTGAGAGAGCCTATGACTGCTCGTGATTCCACGCATCCCGCGAACAAGAAACATAGCTCAGTAGCAGAGAGGGCCGGCGCAATCGTGCATGACCGGGCGCGAACCTTTCTCGTGGCGGCGGGATTGCTGGCTCCATGCTGGGTGTGCGTGGTGCCCCTTTTTCTGCTTGTGTTGCAATGCGCAGTAACGGGGCGCGGGCGGCTCTGCGTGGAAAAGTATATATGGTACATCCTTTGACGGGTTCTTGGTACAGTTCGGCTTCGCCGCGAGGTGCCTTCCGCCCCCTGAATCTCGCGTTGAGCAGCCCGAGACGGGCTCCCAGACTAGAGTTGTAATTTTCCTTGGCTGTCTCCATCATGCGGGGGGGCGGGTAGGTCCCGGCCACTGCTGCATGTCCATGAGGCAGCTCGAGGGACTTGACTTCAAGACAGGAATGAAGAAGGACTGGCGAAGGGCTGTTGTAGGAAGATCGGGGCATATTTGGACCGACATTGGCGTCGAGGCGGTAGTCGAGACGGGTCAAGGCGGAGTGGCAGACAAGGGGTTTCCGGGAGCTGTTGTTCATTTCTTGTTGCGAAAGGCCCATGCTATTGCGTCTATGACGATGCCGTCGGTTAATGTGGGGGATCTACTGTCTGGAGAGAACGTTCCTGAATACCACCAAAAACAAGGCCCGAGACGGCGGCCCGTCGCCCGGGGGGGGGCCCGCGTCGTCGAGCGGACTAGCTGGAAGCCAGGCGGCGGTTGAGATGCCGCCGCCTCCTGCCCATGGCGAGGGGGCGGGATGGGGCGGCCGTCGAAGTGGTGGGGCAGGGCGCGTCGGGCGATGCAGGGCCCCCCGGGCCCCCTCCTGCTCCGCCGCTGCCTGCGGGGGCCACGCGGAGAGTTGTGCGCTATGCAGTGCTATTTGGGGCTGGTTGGCTGAAAGAGGGGTTATTATTGCAGGGCAGTCGCGTCATTTGGCCGCCCCAGATAGGGGGGGGCCGAAGTTCGAGCAGATCATGGCATGAACCGCCCAGAATCTACAAACGGGCGAATATTTCGAGCGCGGGGTTTTCACAGTCGGCAAGACGCGCGACGAGCATGGGCAGCCTCTGCCGTTGACGGGCAGGAGCAGAACGATTCAGATGCGCGTGGTCTCCTGTTGCGACCCGCGACGCCGGTCCCCCGACGCTGGAGACGGAGGGCCCTGTGCTCGAAAGCTTGGCTGAAGAGGGCGCAGAAAGACTCGGCAAATCCGGGTGTTCATCCAGATCGGCGGTGGAAGATGGGAGGCCCAGCTAGGGCAAAATCGATTGCCGTGTTCAGAGCAGAAGGGGGTGGGGTTCTACAGATTCGAGGACCCAGGCCCGGATGCTGACCTGGTTCGAGATATCGGTACGGGTATCACTATTCCGCGACCCCTGGTCAAGTGCGCCATGTCGGCCGTGGGCGAGGAGCTCCCATCCCTCCTTGCGTCAGATGGCTATGCCAGTTACTTTGCGGAAGAAGACGAGGAAGAGGCTGTTCGTGATAAGGTGAATGGCGTCAGCGCTGTCTCGACGCCAACTCTGGAATCGAGACTGCAAGGAATGCCGCGGGCTCGACCTGCGCGGCGGCTGCCGGTATGCGCAGCGTTCCTCGCATGCCTCTGAGGTTGTGAGATGCGAGCAGTTATCAGCACTGGGAGAAAGGGTCGTCTGTGCGACCGTGCTGTAACCCAGTCGCGGACAACTGTGATCGATGTGATGAGTTAAATCCTTGCGCTGTCCCGTCCAAGTGGGTCGCGGATATGTCCGGCGCTGCCATTGTTGCCAGACTCTTTACCAAGTCTGAGGCAGCGAACAGTGAGGGGGCTGCCGCTGCTTCGCAGAAGGAATGGGAGAGGCTACGTGAAATTAGCATGTGGGACGAGAGCAAGGTGATGGAACTGGGCCGAGTGCGAAGTATGATGGGAGGTCTTACCTTTCACATCGGCAGTCTTCTTGCCATCCTTGTCGAAAAGATCGCCGAGCTACCAGAGGGACATAAAGACAGGGAAATCAAGGGGCGTGCTTTTTGACGGACGTGACGTCATCGATCGAGACCAGAACGTAGCATTATTCCAAGAATTTTCATTTTGCCCTGCCACGACGCGGGAGAGACAGCCGCCGATGATTCATTGGCTTGCGCCGCGCCGCCGACCCCTTGGGGCGGCAGCAATCGTCCCCCGCGTGGCCTGTCCGGACAGGGTTTCCAGTTTTTGAGGTGAAGCGTCACGTGCGCAAGGCGATGGAGAAGCGCGTGCTGCATGGGCTTCGTGGAAGTTTGGCGTTTCTGACTTTGCCCGCTACGTGCGTCGCGGCCGGTCTTGGCGGGTCGGCTGGCCCCTTTGGCAAGAGTGGCGAGCTGTTCGACAACGGCGACGACGGCAAGCGCGACCGAGGCGCATTTCCGATTGGGGAGCGCCCGAGAGCGGATCGACCTTCTGGAGATGTGGGGTGGCCATTCAGGAGTTTCTCGGGATGCGGAATGCCGAGGGCATTGCGTCGGGGAGCTCTGGGGCATCGTCTACGGCGACGACATCAAGGAGCACGGCGCTGAGAAGGAGCCCGTCGACTACATCGAGCGCGCGGAGCCTGCGTGCATCATCCTGGAGCTTCCCTGCATCATCTGGGGTCGACTCCAGAGCTTAGCCTACGTGGGGGGTCGGGGGGCGTTCGGGAAGGCGCGCCTCGAGAGTTGCCGACGCTCGAGCTCGTGGAGAACATCTTCGAGATGCAGTGCGCGGCCGGCAGGATCGCGGTCATCGAGCATCCGTGGATGGGCCAGTCTTAGAATGAACTACCTTGGCGACGCCTGCGAGCTCCTGAGGGGGTCGTGGAGTTCAGGGCGGACGTGTGCGCCCGCGGCCTGGGGTGCCCGCTCGCGAATCGGTCAGTGCGCAAGCCTGCGGGGATCTTGGCGTCGCGCGCGGCCTTCGGGAAGCGCCGCTGCTTCGCTTGCGCGGGGGATCGCGGCCGCGCCGCGCTGAGGGGTATGGCGAGCGGGATTTCCTGGGGCCAGGTTTTACACCGACGGTGTCGCCGCGTGGATCGTCGGCGCCCTCGAGGAGATAGTCAGCCAGGGCCGCCGGGCGCGGCCAGCCGAGGCAGACGACGGCTGCGACGCGCCCGAAAAGTGGCCCATGGGCGCCCGTGCCATCGCATCCGGAGAGAAGGCTGGGGCTCTGCCGATCGGGGCTCGGAGCAGGCTGATGCGTCTTCGCCAGGACCTTGGACATCCTTCGAGCGATGTCCTGGCGGGGAGTCTTTGTCTCGCGGGGGCCAGCGACGCCCTCGCAGGGCGCCGGGTGCGCGAAGTGCGCCGGCTGCATGCGCGCAAAGCCAGCCTTGGGATCTCATCGGGTATCTTGCCTGGCGCCCGTTGGGCGCTTCAACGACGAGCTGGGCGTGGGCGGCCTCTACCTGCGGACCGTGAAGGGGGAGTCCTGCCAGTTCCTGTCCATCGTCGAGGTATCGACCGCCTGCCGCGTGGCGCGCTACCTCGAGGTCTGCTGGCCTGCTACTGTGGCCGAGGTCTACAGGGGGCCGTGGGCAGCTGCGCCGCCCAGTGTTGCCAGGCTCGATCCCGACGGCATGTTCTACACTGGGTTCCAGGAGGCCATGGGCTCGATGGGCATCCGAGTCAAGGCCAAAAATCCCAGCGGCAGAACGGCCGCGCTGAGCTGCGCGGAGGCTGGCTCGAGCTGATGATCCACCGCGTCGTCGAGCATCAGACGGTCTCGGACCGCCGCGTGCTGGAGATCGCCGTTCGGGGGGCCTGCCGGGCGGAGAACGACGCGCGGGTAGTGCGCGGGTTTGATCGACATGCCTGGTCAGATCGCAGAGCAGAGCGTGCTTCGCGTTTCCACCGAGCTCGCGCGACGCATGGCTATCCGATCTGCTGCAGGGAGGGCCTCCGTGGAGATGCAGTGGCCAGGGGCTTTTGGGGGCGCTGCTGCGCGAGCCCCGAGTCGCCAGGGTCGTGTGCGAGAGCGGGGGCTTGGTGTTCTACTGGTGGCGACGCAAGGGGCGAAGCTTCGCGAATGGTGGGGGCCTGCAGGTGTTGCTGGGCCCGCTGGGGCGTCCCACTTCTGGTGATCTCATGGCGCCGCCGCTATTCGCGTTTAGATCTGGTGGCTCGGGCAAGGCGACGACCCAGACGTCGAGGAATTCAGCGAACAAGCTGGTGAGAGAGTCCGGGAAGGACCTCCGGCCCAAGTTCGACGATCAACGAGGTCTGGGGCCGCGAGATGGAGAAGAGCGGGCTCGGCCGCTGGAGCGGCGCCCCGAGCAGGACTTTGGAGTCGCCTTGCGGGGGCTTATGCAGGCGGGTGCGTTGAAGGAGAAGCGCGCGGCTCGCCGAGTTGAACGGGAAGAGAAACCCGATCGTGTGAAGCGCGAGCTGGGGGCGCCGAGGGGGCCTCCGCCCGCGAGGGTCGAGCTTTCGACGTCGCCGAGGGCCGCGCCGCCGAGTTCGGCGAGTTCAGCCTCCGCCCAGCCTGCGCTGCCCAAGCGAGGCTGAGTTCATGGAGAGGTGGGCGGCTCGTCAAACTAAAGCGCCACGTGCACCGAGCGGCGCCCTATCCCGTGCCGCTCCGTGCTCGAGGTCATCCGGGGCATTCCGTGCATCTCGTGAACTACAGCCTCGGCCTCATGTCCAAGAGGAGTTGTGGCGCGACCAGGTTGGTGAAACGGACGCTCGAGAAGGATGCGCCTTGGTCGGCCATGCCCGAGAAGGACGAGCCTCTGTTTCGCGAGGCAGCTGAGCTACAATGGAAACAGTGGGGGAGCTACCACGCCGTCGAGCCTTCGCGCGTGGAGGAAAGCTTAGAGGTTTGTGAGCGCTTTCTTCCGATCAGGATCTTGACGTCGAGGTACCTTCGCCGGAACGAGAATGCCCGTGTCAAGGGCGCGCCGATCAAGCCCAAGGCGAGTTTGTGGTTCGGGGGCCACAACGACCCCGACTCCATCATGGGCCTCAGTACTGACGCGCCTGCGGTCTCGAGGCGCGTGCTCAGCTTCCTGTCGGTGGCAGCCGCCTATGAGTTCGAAATCGAGGCTACAAACGTACGTACTTTTCCCGCGAGATCAAATTCCCGCAGGTCTTGAATGAGTACCTGCCTGCACTTTGCCTGATCTAGTGATTATCACGCGCTTGATCTATATCGGTCTGCTGGCCCTTTGTCGTTTTGTATCATGTGTACGCGGCTTCATCTTGCATTGTAATTTGAATATCAGGCCCCAGCTTGTGGGAATTAGGAAGTATAATCCGTGTGAAATGGGATGTTTAGGAAGCCCTCCTTGAAGCAGGACCCGAGGGGAACGTTCCTATCGAGATGCCCCCCCGGAAAAGCCTCCAGCATCCTACTTCGTACGTGTCCCACCCAGACCAGGTGCACCTTTTAGCTTTTGGTTGCTTGGCTTTTGCTTTCCGGCCGCAAAAAAAATCGATCAGCCCGATCGCATTCACACCTCCCTCCTTTTCGATTTCCCCCCTCCCCGTTTACTCGTCGAGCAGGGCGACGCCGGCCTCACTGGCCGCAAGATCATCATCGACACGTACGGGGGCTGGGGCGCCCACGGTGGCGGCGCCTTTTCCGGCAAGGACCCGACCAAGGCTCCGAGCGGATGGAACTCTGACATCCTCACGTTGTGAAACAGATCGCGCTAGTCCTTAGGACCGTCAGAAGCGGCTCAGGATGATAATGTGGTCTCTTGGAAGGAGCCTGGACCTTTGGGCAGCCACGTGTGGACAAAACAGAGGTCTCCGAGCGGAGGTCGCCACGAGCAGCACGGCTGGCCCGGACCAGGGGCCGCGGCCCGCAGCCTGCGAGAGGGCCAAGCGTCCCCCGGGACGATCCTGTGGTTGGCACCTTGGGTGCCTTCAACATTCAGCGGCCGCGGAACGGCATAAATGAACTCTTCGGTCATCGGGGACGCCTGCCCCAGGACGGCCGGAAAGTTCATACTGTGACGTTGCACCGTAGAGGTATAAATTCTAGACGCTTCGCGTAACCAAACCAGTCTATCCAGAAACGATGCCCAGGCGAGTTGCCCTGATCAGGGAGGTGTAGGATCATGAGGTGGAATAATGGGTTGGGGAAGTTGTTCACAAGATAGGTGGGGCTCCTTGGTAGCGTAATCGCCGTAGCGCCGCGCACATTCGTCTGGCAACTCCGTAAGAGTTTTCGGATCGAAGGCGGCTCGTGGTCAAACTGTGGCTCTTGAATAAGCCCCGCGCGCGTTTGTGTTAGCAAGTTGCAAGAGCTCCACGGATTGATGGGGGGTCGTTCTCACAATGCGGTTCTCGCCTTAGCGCCGAGCCCATTCGTCTGAGAAGCGTTGAACAAGAGTTTCGCTGATTGGGGGCAGTTCCTTTTTCAAGATGTGGTCACCTCCTCAGCGCCACGCAATAATTTCGCGGATTACCGTGGCTAATCCTCCAGAAATGGTGTTATCGAACGATTGAGGATTGCCAGAGCGAAAACAAGTAACTCTGATTCGCGGTGGTGAAATTCCAGGAATGGTGTCTGGGCGCGAATCAGGACCGTCAATACGCAACATTAAAAGTGACTCGTGGCGTTGAAGTCCTGAGAATGGTGTTTGGGCACGCCTCCGGATTTTCACACGGTTGCCCCCCAACGGGGCACTTCCTTCAGTGGAAGTGAATCATTGTATGGGCCTATGAAGTGGGAGCTTGGAGGGAGGGTGTATCCCAACATCGTTGATGAGTCTTGGGTTTGCACTGGTCCTCCTTCTCCTCCTCCTCATTCTGCTGATCTTTCACGCCATCCTCCCCCGCATCTTCCCCGAAGGGTTTCAACAAGGGCTGGGGGAATCCACAGTCAAATGGCTTGGCCGAGCTCTGGCCGCAACGTTCGGCCACGTAGGCGCTTCCCAAAGGCAGGGGGGGCGGCGGTGATTCGCCGCAGGCGTGTTCAATTATTAGATACCCCCTCCCCCACCCGACAGGCGACAAACTAGGAACACTGTCGCCCCCTCCACCATCCCTTGTAAACATTTAGCCTGGCGAAGAACCCAACCATATGCAGTTGTCAGTGCCGTCGCTGTATGCACCGCATTTTGATGAGCTCCCTATAGGGCCACGAGACGTGTGAGGAATGTGCCAGAATTTGTCCGGTGGGCGCATGCGAAAGCAGCCACAGGGGCCGTCGGTGGAAATCCCTATGAGGCCACCATACGCGTGAGAAATGTGCCGAATGGGTGCGGTGAGCGCATGCGAGCGCAGCCACTGGGGCCTTAGGTGGAGCTCCCGATGGGTCCACGAAGCGTGTGATAGGTGTGCCGAAATGGGTGTGCGTGACGCATGCGGGCTGTGGCACTCGGGTCTTCGGTGGAGCTCCTTGTGGGGCCACGAAACGTGTGAGAGGTGTGCCGACATGGTATGCGTGAGGCATGCGGGCGGTGGCATTCGGGCCTTCGGTGGGCTCCCTGTGGGGCCACGACACGTGGGAGGGGTGTGCCGACGTGTGTGTGCGTGACGCATGCGGGCGGTGGCATTGGGGCCTGCGGTGGAGCTCCTTATGGGGCCACGAAGCGTGTGAGAGGTGTGCCGAAATGTGTGTGCGTGACGCATGCGGGCGGTGGCACTGGGGCCTGCGGTGGGACTCCTTGTCGGCCCACGAAACGTGTGAGGGGTGTGCCGAAATGTGTGTGTGTGTGTGTGTGTGTGTGTGTGTGTGTGTGTGCGTGACGCATGCGGGCGGTGGCACTGGGGTCTTCAGTGGAATTCCCTGTCGGGCCACGAAACGTGTGAGGGTGTGCCGAAATGGGTGTGCGTGACGCACGTGGGCCGTGGCACTGGGGCCTTAGGTGGAGCTCCTTATGGGGCCACGAAACATGTGATAAGTGTGCCGAAATGGGTGTGCGTGACGCGTGCGGGCGGTGGCAGTGGGGCCTTCGGCAGAGCTCCCTGTGGTGTGAAAGGCACCATTGATGCCATTGTATATCACTATATGGCACTATACATCAGTATATAATAGCACTAGCTAACACCTTGTGTGAGTCTAAATAGCACTATATAGTCTAAAAAGCGCTCGTGGGCTACATAACGCGGAAAAGTGCTATGCAATGTTTATTAGTGATCGCAAGAGCGGCCCGCTGCAGCGCGCGGCGCACAAGAGCGGCAGATTTCCATCACAGTCGCTGGCCCCCCCACGCAGCGACCAGACAAACACGGCCACTCTGGGCGGCTGGCGCCAGCGCGTAGGCCTGCACCACCCCAGGAATTCGACTAACTGCACTGTCTTACGCAGCGTGAACTTGCAACATCTCCACGCATGGCGGCGGCATCATTGGGACAGCTACAGGGCCGCCCGCCACGGCCACCTGGATGCCGCCGCCGCCGCCTGCCGTTTGGCGCCCCCACAGCTGGCGCACCGCGGCCAGGAATTTCTCAAAGTTGATGCTGTGGTGCCCCAGCGACTCGAGCTCCTTCGCCCAGCCGAGGAAACTCTTCGGGCTGGGGCCGATGGTTTCCCCTGGCTCCACGTCCACCTGCAAGCCTCGCCAAGCCGAGAACCAAAGGGCGCACCTTCCGGAGCATAGCTGCCGCTTCCGATGCCGCACACGCTGCGACGAGGCCTCGCACTCGCGGAGGGCCACCCGGCCGTCGAAGCACGCCTCCTGCACCTCGTGCCCGCGGCCGGACGCCATGCACATCGCCGCCAACATCAGGCTGCTCTGGGTCGCGCCCGGGCGGCGCTCGAGCACCGTCAAGGTCGCGGCGACATTCCAGACGGGCGGGCCGCGCATGAATTAGATGTTGCGCAGGTGGAACTCACGGACAAGGACGCCCAGCGCCACGGCGCCCACCGTCGGCCGATTCGACATGCGTTGCTTCTTGGCCCAAACCACTTCGGCCAGTGGAAAACAAGCGGGCATCACTCGTTCGTGTCGACACAACGACGGCCTCTACGTCTACGTCGTGCTCCTCGACCACTCGCGCCATCTCGCGGACAGTGATCAGGCCAGTCGCTAAAGAAGCGAAGGCATCAAGAGGCTGCTGGTCCATTTTCGCCTTGGACAAGAATGCGGGCGCCAGCGGGTTGCGCGGCAAGGGCTCCTTGAGGGCAGCGCGGAAGACAGGCAACATACGTTCCCGCAGACCGCAGGAGCATGGCAGAGCAGCACGGCATAACACAGGAGTGCCGCACACAAAGGCACATATTCCACGCACGCACGCGCACGCGCACACGCACGCACGCCACGACATATCTGCGCGGCAGACCAACCAAAGAGCATACTTCACATACCTAGTGGACAAAAACGACGCTTCCCGTTCTTGTCTGGTCAGGTTTAGACAAAAGACTTGAGAACGCGCTCATTCCGTGGCCAGAGGCACGGTGGCGGATAAGAAAATGTAAGACAGAGCTCGTTCTGTGGTCGATTGGAGGGGGGGGGGAATTCCACCCTCCCCCCCCTCCCGAGACGGAGGGGGGGGGTTCGAACCCCCCCGCTCCCCCTACTTCTCCTCTCTCCCTCTCCTCGGCTGGCGGCGGCGGCGGCGGGGACGACGATTTCCTTTTCTGGGCCGGCGCCAGCGCCTGCGGCGGCGGGCGGCGGCGGCGGGGAGCGTCGACGAGGACGGTGGTGGTGGTGGTGGTGGGTTGTGGTGGTGGTGGTGGCGGTGGCGGTAGTGGCGGTGGTTGTGGTTGTGGTTGTGGTGGTGGTGGTGGTGTGGTGGTTTGTTGTGGTGGTGGTGGTGGTGGTTGTGGTGGTGGTTGTGGTGGTGGTGGTGGTGGTGGTGTGGTGGTGGTGTGGTGGTGGTTTGTGGTGGTGGTGGTGGTGGTGATGGTGGTGGGTTGTGGTGGTGGTGGCGGTGGTTTGGTGGTGGTGTGGTGGTGGTTTGTGGTGGTGGTGGTGGTGGTGGGTTGTGGTGGTGGTGGTGGTTTGTGGAGGTGGTGCTGGTGGTGGTGGTGTCGGTGGTGGTGGTGGTGGTGTGTTGGTTTGTGGTGGTGGTGGTGGGTTGTGTTGCTGGTAGTGGTGGTGGTTGTGGCGGTGGTGGTGGTGGCATGGTATATTGTGTCGGTGGTGGTGGTGGTGGTAGTGGTGGTGGGTTTTTGTGGTGGTGGTGGCGATGGTGAGTTGCGGTGGTGGTGGTTGTGGTGGTGGTGGTGGCTGTGGTGGTGGCGGTTGTTGTGTGGTGGGTTGGTGGTGGTGGTGGTGGGTTGACGTGGTGGTGGTGGTTGTGGTAGTGGTTGTTATCGTCGCTGCGTCCCCGCCGTCGCCGGCGCTGCTGGCCGCCGCCAGCGCCTGCGCCGGCGCCAGTGGGGGGGGTTTTGAACCCCCCTTCCCCCTCGGCGCCAGGGGGGGTTGAACCCCCCCCCCTGGGCTGCCTCTGATCCTCATCGCTGCGTCCCCGCCGTCGGCGCTGCTTGCGGCCGCCGGCGCCAACGCGAGGGGGGGTTTCACCCCCGCCCCCCTTTGGGAGGGGGGGGGGCGGTTTGGGGGGTTTGGGGAGAGGGGAGTCTCCTTGGTTTTGATCGACGGCGCTGAAGTGTTGGGTGGGGGGGGCCCCCCCCCGGCTCGAAACGCGCCGCCGAATGTTCCCAAGGCGAACGCCCGTGAAACGCGTTCTCTCGAATGTAATGAACCCCTCCCCGAAGGGGAAGAAGAGGGTTGGAAGATGAAAATCGCTAAGCCACTCACGCCGCCAAGGGCTGGTGGGACTTTCCAGCCGCGTTGGGTCAGGCGTCCCCGATGCCGGAAATGTTTATTTCATACCGTCATTCGTCAGCTAAAACACGGCCCGCCAGACCCCTTCGGTGGTCGTTCGGTACGTGCAATCTTCATGTCGATGATGAGTCGCACCATCATGTTTCTAATCCTTGATCCGTTCTCCCTCTGGCTTCCCCTGCCTTTTTGAACTCCGCAGGGGCAGTGAATCATCATGCGTATGGTGCAGCCTGTTCCCAGTCCTCTTAGAGGGTCAGCGCGCTACAGGCGCGCCTGCCTCCCCTGCAGGGACGGCCTTCCCCGGCGACGGCAGATTCGTTCGTTCGTTAGTTCGTTCGTTTGTGGCCCCTTTCGGGCGCCCACCCTCCAGGGGCTTCCAGGATTTCTGGCCCGCTTCCTGCCGTTCTCGTTGTCATTGCGCGGGGAAGGACGGGGGATCCGGGCCGCTCTTGAGGGGCCCTCATGGCCGTGGCCAGATGCAGCGCGGCTGCAGTGGGCCACAGAAGAGTCCCACAAGGGGAGACGGGGAACTCAGCAGCCGCTTCGCCTGAGACCTTTTCCGCTAGTTCTTCAGGAGTCGTGCTCCCGCCTGAGTGCCGGCTACATTTCTGGTCTGGACGGCCACGATCTGTTGCAACTGATTGCGCTTGGGTGCACAAGGCCGTGCTCTCGCCCCAGCCCTGGCTGCATTTCAGACCCCCAGCCGACCTCCTGCCCCCCTCTCTGCACCTTTGCGGCTGTTCGTTTTTTTTGGGGGGGGAAATTTCATTTTGTAAGCTTCAGGCGCCATAGCAGCACATGCTCGAAAGGCGGGCGTTTTGGCGATCTCGGCCTCCCAGGGTCTTTCCCAGGCCTCGGGGCCATCAAAGAGAATTTCGCTGCGAACAATCGCCCCTGGGAGTGGGGTCGAGAGCTCCAGGGGAGTATCGTCGTGGCGGCGGCGAGGGAGAATCGAGAAATGGATGGAGAAAACGGGACCCTTGGCTGGGGAGCGAGGGCGGTGCATGGAGGGGGTGTGGGAGGACATGGAGCCCCCTCTCGTCCCATCCTGTCCAGTCGCATCCCATCCCGTCCCCCCTCCATTCTTTGCGTCCCGTCCAGGGAGTACCTCATCAGCTCCCCTTCCCAGTTTTAGACCCTCGGGCCCACATGGGCTGGGCGCTCGCTGGGCAGCAAGGGCTCGACCCTTCTCTCGTGGACAGACAAGCCGATCCTCCCACAGACTCCCCTCCTCTTCCCTCTCCTTGTCTCCCCTTTTGCTGGGAAGCCTTGCAACCATGCCCTCTCCCTCCTCTTCGCGCCCTGGAACCTCGTAGACCCCGTGGAACATCCCGGACTTCCCGAGAACGCCTGGAAATTTGGGGGACACCTTCTGAAGGTGGACCGCTCGGCGGCGTACATCTGCAGGCAGATGGCCAAGTCCGTGGTGAAGAGCGGCCTCGGGGAGCAACGATATGAAGGGGATGAGGGGGATGAGGATGAGGAGGATGAGGAGGATGAGGAGGAAGCGGATGAGGAAAAGGAGGAGGGAGGATGACGGAGGAAAGCGGAAGGAGGAAGGAGAAAGGAGGAAGGAGGAATGGTACGAGGAGGAGGAGGGAGAGGAAGAGGGAGAGGACGATCATAGGAAGGAAGAGGAGGCG